TTCTCTGAGCTCACCAACAACCCCACTGCTGCCTCCTTGATTCACAGGAACTGAAAGCTGATGGCTTCCTCCAGTTTACGCCAATTGTCACCTCTCTCTGGGTCCTATACATCTGACTCCACTGATTTAATGTGGCATGACAGACCACCCAAAAGGATTGGACAATCTTTTATCTTACGCATGAAATAATGGACTGGACTGAGATGGCCAGCCCTTGCTTGGAGTCTCATGTGGTTGCAGACAGGCTGGGGCTGGGGTCATCCTGAAGGCTCTCTTCATATGTCTGGGTTGGAGACACTCAAACAGCTGGGCTTGGAATGCCTGGGGCTCCTGAGGCACTTCTGCCTTTGTAGATACATACCACGATGACAGATAGATAGATTGATAGATGATAGATAGATAGATACATAGATAGATAGAGAGATATATATCGATACAGATGACAGGTAGGTAAATAGGTAAATATGATTAGATGATAAAGAGATAGAGACAGGTAAGTAGATGATAGATAGAATCCTATACACTTACATACAGACTTACAATACAACACTTACAAACAAGGATTTGCATCTTCAAACAAGATTCCACGGAGAGGACAATTCTTGGCCTAAAGAAGTGAATATGGAAGTTCACACACCCAACAGGGCCTTCCAGCCCCATGGACAGTCACCTACTCTGCAGAAGCCAGTCTGTCACAGGAGAGGAAACAAGCCCCTGAATTAGCTAATTGTGACTCGACATTTCTCTGGTCCTGCCTATCTTTGCCCCCAAAGATTTAAGCAGCTCTCATCCGAGCTTTTCATGCATCCCAGACACCGCACAGCCTGGACATGACCAGACACCCTGAGCAGAACTCTGGCACCAGAAAAACAATTCTAAGAGGGACCATCTGAACACAGTGGAGCTTTTACGGCAGTGCATCCCTGCCCCCAAGACGGCCCACTCCTAGTTGTGATGACTATGAACCATAAAACTAAAAACTGCCAGTTGTTTTACCAGCCAAAAGGGAGTTAATCAGGAATAAATGAGAATTGCAATCCGGAACAAACAGGCTGCCGCAACCATAGCCAAGTCTGAAGAACAAAGGGGAGGTATGTTTTTCAGGAGAGAAGGGGAAGCTGGGAAGGCTGTTACAGACTGGAGTCCATTGGAGAACCCAGGAGTGAGAAAGTGTGGTGGCTTCTCATTGGCAGAGCTCTTCTTGGGGAGAAGAGGTGGTGGATTGTGGTGACTTCTTCCTCCAGCTGGATAGTAAGGTAGAGCAAGGTCAAGTCCCTGGGAGGTCAAGTCCATCACTTCCTGTTGGGTCTGGCTGGTAGGGCGTGAGGGCGCCCCCTGCTGAAACCTCCCCACTCTGTCTCAGTGAGATTCACATATTGATTATCATCTGACAAAGGCACTTCTAGAAGGGGGATGTTTATATTGTTCTTTGGAAAATTCCTGGACAACATCAGCTGAGACATTAACATCTTCACAGTTAAACCTTTGTGAAAGATGTCTGCAATTACTTTCTCAAATGGCAGACTGAAGCTGGACTCGACAGGGATGGAACCCAAATGTCCAAAGGAACATGGCCTCCTGAGGACAGAGGATAATACAGCTATGAAAGTAATAGCTGACATTGATTACATCCTCGCTGCGTACTCCGAGGTCTGTGTCCTAAACACCTCACACATACATCATCTGGTTTCATTGTCATGTCAGATAGGCACTGGCATTATGCCCCTATTTTACACAACCTGAGGCACTAAGTACCAAGGCGGGAAGTGTTAACTAATTAGCTCAAGGTCCCACGTAGAGGAGGAAGGTACCAGACTCCTGTCACTGGGCAGCATACTCACTCTTCCCCCAGTTGCTGGCAGTATTCACTCTTATGAGCTCACAGCTGCCCCACTCTCTGGAGAATCACTCTTGGCCAAACTGAGTCCACTTCACCTAGGAGTTTGTGCCTCCTGGGGTTGGGAGGGCAGTCTACGACCCACTGATGGGGTACAAAATGCCAGCCCTTCCCTCACAGTGATATCCACTCTGTAATACAATTCTGGCTCCAGAGCTCCCCATGACATCGGGCTACCCCCACCGCAGCTTTGCTCAGCTTGTCCTCTTGCCTTACCCAGCTCCCCTCAATCCTTTCTCCTGAGAGCACTCTTGCAGTAGACCATCTGCTCCAGAGCCCCCACCTCAGGCTCTACTTTTACGGACCTGACCTGAGACAATGACAAAGCCCAAGCTAATTTGTGCACAGTGGCATTCAGCCAAGGAGCATACAGGTGCTGAAATGTGGCCCAAGTTCTGTGGGTCCAGCTATGCAAGGGGACACCTTTTCCTCATTTACCCAAAGCCACTGATTGATCTAGACTCAGCCCTGGACTAAGCTGGGATTCAAACCACAGGAGCTCCAGCTTCAGAGCACCCCATCTCTCAATCACTGTGTGGTGCTGCCTCGTTGTATTAAATAATACAAGTCAGACTAAGGCAAGGGTCGGGGAGATCTGTGTAGGCTCAAGCTGCTTTTGTGACCCACTTCTCCTGAAAACAATCACAGCCTTCTAGAAGGGTCTCTTCCAAGAACTATGTTACTGACACATCCCAGAGTAAACGCTGACCTGCTATTTTTCATAATCCCCTGTAATTCCTACAAAGACATTCTCCCACAAAGTCAGGAAGTGGACGCTGACACATTACTCCAAGTAACAATCAGAGCCCGCAATTCCCCAAACTGTCCCCACAATGTCCTTTATAGCAGAAGGACCCCGCTCACACATTGAGGTTACATGTCACCTCTCCTTTGTCTCTTTACTTCAGTCTGGACCACTTCCTTAGTTTGTCTCTGGCTTTTGTTAAAAAGCAAAATTCCAGCAACTCAAGTTGAACATCTAATTGGTTTTATTAAGCGATTCATGAATCGGCACCATCTCACCTGCCAAGTAGACAGATGCTCCCAGGAGGTGTACAAAATGCAGGGTTTTCTAGGGTGGAGGGTGGGGCAGGAAGCGCACAGAGGGAAAAGAAAGCATTGCTTCAGGCCAGGACACCTTCCTTCTGGGGGATGGACTTGCAGGGTTTCTATCCTGCAGATGACTCATTAGTGCCAACAGGAAATTTCAGATGACCTTTAAATGGTCATCTTCTGGGACATTTGATCGAGGTAATTAGGCATTGTTTACTGTGTGGTGGGGTTGGGGGGGCAAGTGACTCCAATCCTGGCTTGTTTTTTTCTTTTTTATCGTTTTTCAGGACTGTGACTTTGAGGAAGATTACACACCAGTTACAGATTAGGAGTAGATAGTCCTTTATTTTGGTTTGTCTGACAATTTTTGGGATTTCTTTTCAGGTTTGCCTCCTCAGCAAGAATATCCCCGAGGTGACGCTGGGTTCCTTTCACCACATCCTATCAGGTGATGCTCCATCACTTCCTCCTGTTCCTCATGAGGCTCACTGGTCTGCCAGGTCTCTGCTCTGTGAGCTACTCTTTACTCAGTAACTCATGGCTGTCTCAGCTGTAGTACTTTGAAACTCTGTGAGTGTCCTCTTCAATTATAATCTATCCCTGTATTTATTTCCACATGTATGTACTCGATTTTCCAGTTTTATTCAATGGGTTATAATCTCTTCCTATCGTTAGTGACCATGATGCCCAAATCATGCCTGATGGGTGGGTGAAACCCCTCACAGTAGCTCTCTGTCCTGTGGATGTGTCCCCATCACAGTGTAGCACAAGATGCTCCAGGCTCACCACGTGCTCTCCCAGCCAGCAATCAGCCATTTCTCTGAAAAGCCCTAGTTCCTTTCAGTCAAAAATGACATTTATAAGCCAAAAATGGGCACAAGGTATGTTCATTTTACTTACAATGTCATGTTTCTAAGAACTGTCTGTGGATAGAGGTAGGGGATATGTGTTTTTACACAAAGACATCACACACACATTTCTATCTCTCTCTACCAATCTATCATGTATCCATAGGAAAGCATGACACTTCTCCAATATTGAGAAACTCCTGAAACCATGTAGCTTTAATATATTTACTTATTTGATCAATCCCCTTTCATGTAACTAACCCTCACTCCATCCCTTAACACTCATGTATGCCCCCACCATGCTACTTGGGTTCTCCATACTGTAGTTGGGCTCTGGGGGCTGTCACCAGACCACCTCTCTGTGTGGGCCCCCTTCTCACCAAGCTTGGGCTCCCACACCCATGCCAGGCTGCTCTTCCATGTGGACACCCTCTTCACTCTACTCAGTCTCTAACTTGGAGTCACTGTGACTCCCTTCTCTGCCCCTGACCCTCAGTGTGGGGCTGCCCACCTGGCTGTGCCCCACCTATGGCTTTAGGACTGAATTATCCAGGAAGTAAGGCAAAGGAAGAGAAGAGAGGAGAAGGGAAAGAAGGGGTGGGGAGGGGAGGGAAGGAAAAGGAAGAATCCTATGCAGCTTCTGATACCAGCTGAAATGGACAAATGCTTTTATCCTTTCTGTCCAATCAACTGGCCAACCAACCATCTCTGATTCCATGTTCACTGTGTCGGGCCAGTTGGGAGCTAAGGCTGGAACACAGAAAGAATGTTCCCTGCCTACCAGAATATCAGGGGAGATGAGGTGAAAACGAATCATATAATACTAAGTGCCTCGATCGAGTTATAAAAAATATGTGCTCCAAAACCTGTAGAATTAAACTATGAATATACTTTCTGAGCCATGGGCAAAGTCACAGTGGATTAACTCTCACCCATCTTCACGTATCACATCAGAATTCTGAACAAGCTCCACCCACCCAGTGACTGTGATGGTCAAAACATTCAGTCACTGGCTCTCACTCATCAGTTCTACGGATTCCCCCTTAATGTGCACGAAACCATCAGTTAATACTTTTGTAAAGAGATGTTGATCGACTGGCTCAGTGTAATATTTAATGTAGAATATTCAAAATAAGACATGTGATATAAATGCCACTACTACAGTCATGACACTAATTCTTGTTTTCATTAAAGTTTGTTGATAAAATTGTTGAGAAAGTTTTATTCTTGATCTGTGCTCAGGGGAGTAGTTGGTACTAACTGGGGGTAGTGTATGTGAACCAGACAGGCTGAGTCTACATCTCTGGCAATTATTATCACCTCCTTTACTCTCCACAATATACAATGCTCCACACAGACACCACAAAAGCTAAAAGAATGTACGGAATCCCTAGTCATCTGTCACAGGCAGTACATGTAGGCCATCTTCATTTCTGGGTTTTACTCACAAAGAAAATTGAAGTCTCTGGTAATCTGGGATACAGCTTCTTGAAGAACAAAGGGGAAGTCTTTAGAGAAAGTCAGGCTCCACTCACACTCCCATCTCTTGGCTCAACCTTGAGAACAATGGGTTTTTCTGGTCGAAGTAACCGTTGTGAATTTAATTTCAGAGGGATCTGCAACAGTTAAGCATACGAGAACCAACAAATGAAACCCTGCCAACAACAGAAGCAAAGCAAGCAAGATACATGAAGGACAATAATGCATTACAAACATATAAATACTATTTTTAGATTCATCTATCTCTGATTCTTTAAAATTACTCTGGGGGCGCCTGGGTGGCTCAGTTGTTATGTGTCTGCCTTCGGCTCAGGTCATGATCCCAGGGTCCTGGGATCGAGCCCCACATTGTGCTCTCTGCTCTACAGGAAGCCTGCTTCTCCCTCTCCCACTCCCCCTGCTTGTGTTCCTGGATTGTGTTCCCTCTCTCGCTGTGTCTCTCTCTGTCAAATAAATAAATAAAATCTTTAAAAAATAAAATAAAATAAAATAAAATAAAATAAAATAAAATAAAATAACTCTGTATACTGTCAAGACTGGAGCATGGAAGCATTCATCCATCACGCTTGCAACAGAATAGCTATTGAATACTTACTCTGTACCAGGCTGGCGACACACTCATATTGGCCGGTATTTTTTTTTTATTTTAATTTTAAGGAAAAAGGATGAGTGTTTAAAGTTTAAAACAGGTTCTTAGCCATTGTGGCAAACAATTCCAAAAAGTGCCAGAGTTAATTTTCATATGTTGAAACTTGAGTGTTCATTACACATTTTATTGTGTGGACATCCACACTGCTAAACATCTTGTCACCTCTGCCATGGAAACACCCATTCATGATGACAGATTGGGATGGGATGGGAGCACAGCCTGACTGGAGCCAGGCTTGCAGAAGGTGGAGCCAAGGAGCCAGGATGGCCTGGACCCTGGGAGTCCTTCCCATCAGGCAGACATGCTTCACACCACTGATTCGCAACCTTGCTTGCCCTTGAGAATCATGGGGGCACTTTTAAAGCCACACTCTGGGAGAATTGCATTAGAGTTTCTGAGATGACCTGGGCATCAGATTTTTACAAACCCACTGATTCCCATGTACAATGAGGGTTTGAGAACCTCGGTCACCAGAGTGTTTGTAAGTTATGGTGGAGAAGAGGATCCTTCAAAAGTCACGTCATGGTTATCACTGCACGTCACGACTATGCACAACATGTTCCCTTCCTTTCAGTGGACTTGAAAGAAATTTAAAATACTGCTCAAGATCATAGGTCTGTGCATAATGATGTCACATGAACTGCACTGACTACATGACCCTTATGATTGGGGGGTCATAAACCACAGATGTGGCACTCAAGAGCTGAAGTTCCCTTCAAGGTCACAGATGGCTCTAAATAGATTCTCTGGCTGATAGAACAAATTACTAAGGATAAATGAGCCCCCCCCCCCACACACAGACCCTCCTTTCATATCTTAGTTTAAAAATAAAACAATAAAACATTCTTTTTGCAGAAAGTTCTCTCTCTGACCTGTGTTTCTTCACAAGGTTTGAAGGAGAAGTTCTGCAGGACTCTGACCAGGGCAAGTTTCATGTTCATGATCGCAAACCTCATCCCAAGGCAGTTTCGGGGTCCAGTTCCAAAAGGCAGGTATGTATAAGGATTTATGTTGTCCTTGTTCTTCTTACTGAACCTGGCTCCACAACACAAGTTGAAAACAAGTCAGTGAAACATAAAAATCACGAGACCTACATATTCAGGGTTCTCAACCAGGAGTACATAGGAAATTTTGATGGGCTGGTTACCGAAATCCTGGTATGCTTATTCTGCTGTGACAATTATAAGCTATAGGTCATTGGATACCCCTTCCCCTATGGGAGCATTCAGTCTTGCTGAAGAGATGAGAGATGAATGCTTTTGAAAAGATTTATCTTAAACACTAGAATTATATTTAGGGTGGTGAGATCTTCACACTCTGATAGGCAAGCAAGAAATGAGCCTGATTGAAGGAAAGGTAGGATTCTGCCTCCACTGACTGACACTGGTCATCTATCCATGGAAAAGGGAAGCAGGAGAAATGCCTCCCATGATTTACATTGGTATTTTTTCCCTTTACTTCCCTACCCTCCCTGCTAGGACCATCCCCAACAAATTAAACAGATCAGATTTTCAGATGATTTACATAGGCACGTGATGCTACTCCTCTATAATCATACTCATGGATATGAATAATCACTATAATTACTGAGTTTTTGTCTATCTGTTCCACAAAGGTATAAATTCCTTGAAGGTTAGACTTACACTTTATTCAAAATTCATTCCTCCATATTTATATCAAAGAAACGTGTATTTGGGGAAAGTGATAATGGCAATGTGGTGATGTATTATTTAAAACTCATTATATTTGATTCCATACAAATTTTAGGATTGTTTGTTCCAGCTCTGTGAAAAATGCCATTGGTATTTTGATCGGGATGGCATTGAAGGTATAGATTGCTCTGGGCTGCATAGACATTTTAACAATGTTTACTCTTCCAATGTATGAGCTTGGAATGTTTTTCCATCTTTTTGTGTCTTCTTCAATTTCTTTCATGAGTGTTCTGTAGTTCCTTAGGTATAGATCCTTTACCTCTTTGGTTAGGTTTATTCCAAGGTATCTTCTGGTTTTTGGTGCTATTGTAAATGGAATCGATTCTCTAATTTTTCTTTCTACAGTTACATTGTTAGTGTATAAGAAAGCAACTGATTTCTGTGCATTGATTTTGTATCCTGCCACATTACTGAATTGCTGTATGAGTTCTAGTAATTTAGGGGTGGAGTCTTTTGGGTTTTCCACATAAAGTATCATGTCATCTGTGAAGAGAGAGAGTTTGACTTCTTCTTTGCCAATCTGAATACCTTTTATTTCTTTTTGTAGTAGGTTGTTGCTAGGACTTCTAGTACTATGTTGAACAATAGTGGTGAGAGTGGTCATCCTTGACGTGTTCCTGATCTTAAGGGAAAGGCTCTCAGCTTTTCCACATTGAGAATGACATTTGCTGTGGGTTTTTCATAGATGGATTTTATGAACTTGAGGAATGTTCCCTCTGTCTCTATACTCTGAAGAGTTTTAATCAGGAAAGGATGCTGCATTTTGTCAAATGCTTTTTCTGCATCAATTGAGAGGACCATATGGTTCTCTCTCCTCTTATAAATGTGTTCTATCACATTGATTGATTTGCGAATGTTGAACCACCCTTGCATCCCGGGGATAAATCCCACTTGGTCGTGATGGATGATCCTTTTAATGTACAGTTGGATCCTATTAGCTAGGATTTTGTTGAGAATTTTGGAAACCATATTTATCAGGGATATCGGTCTGAAATTCTCCTTTTTGATGGGGTCTTTGCCTGGTTTGGGGATCAATGTAATGCTGGCCTCTCAGAATGAGTCTGGAAGCTTTCCTTCTGTTTCTATTTTTTGAAACAGCTTCAGAAGAAAAGGTATTATTTCTTCTTGAATGTTTGGTAGAATTCCCCAGGGAATCCATCAGGCCCTGGACTCTTGTTTTTTGGGAGGTTTTTGTTACTGGATTATTGGTCTATTCAGGTTGTCAATTTCTTCCTGTTTCAGTCTTGGTAGTTTATAGGTTTCTAGGAAGGCATCCATTTCTTTCAGGTTGCTTAATTTATTGGCATATAGTTGTTGATAATAAATTCTAATAATTGTTTCTATTTCCTTGGTGTTAGTTGTGATCTCTCCCTTTCATTATAATTTTATTAATTTGGGTCCTTTCTCTTTTCTTTTGGATAAGTCCGGCCAGTGGTTTATCGATCTTATTAATTCTTTCAAAGAACAAGCTTCTAGTTTTGTTGATCTGCTCTACTGTATTTCTGGTTTCTAATTCATTGATCTCTGCTCTAATCTTAATTATTTCTTTTCTAATGCATGGCTTAGGCATCATTTGTTGTTTTTTCTCCAGTTCTTTAAGGTGTAAAGATAGTTGGTGAATTCTGGACTTTTCTATTTGAGTGAGGCTTGGATGGATATGTATTCCCCCCTTAGGACTGACTTTGCAGTATCCCATAGATTGTGGACAGATGTGTTTTCATTCTCACTGGTTTCCATGAAATGTTTAAGTTCTTCTTTCATTTCCTGGTTGACCCAAACATTCTTAAGCACAGTGGTCTTTAGCTTCCAAGTGTTTGAATTCCTCCAAATTTTCTCTTATGATTGAGTTCCAGTTTTAAAGCATTGTGGTCTGAGAATATGCAGGGAATAATCTCAATCTTTTGGTATCGGTTGAGACCTGATTTGTGACCCAGTATGTGGTCTATTCTCAAAATCACATTGAGATGCCACCTTACACCAGTTAGAATGGCAAAAATTGACAAGGCAAGAAACAACAAATGTTGGAGAGGTTGTGGAGAAAGGAGAACCCTCTTACACTGTTGGTGGGAATGCAAGTTGGTACAGCCACTTTGGAAAACAGTGTAGAGGTTCCTCAAAAAATTAAAAATAGAGCTACCCTATGATCCAGCAATTGCACTCCTGGGTATTTACCCCAAAGACACAGATGTAGTGAAAAGAAGGGCCATGTGCACCCCAATGTTCATAGCAGCAATGTCTGCAATAGCCAAACTGTAGAAAGAGCTGAGATGCCTTTCAAAAGACGAATGGATAAAGAAGATGTGGTCCATATATACAATAGAATATTGCTCAGCCATCAGATAGAATGAATACCCAACTTTTGCATCAACATGGATGGGAGTGGAGGAGATTATACTAAGTAAAATAAGTCAAGCAGAGAAAGTCAATTATCATATGGATTCACTTATTTGTGGAACATAAGGAATAGCATGGAGGACATTAGGAGAAGGAAGGGGAAAATGAAGAGGGGGGAAATGAACCATGAGAAATGAACTATGGACTCTGGGAAACAAACCAAGGGTTTTAGAGGGTAAGGGGGGTGGGGGGATGGGTTAGCCTGGTGATAGGTATTAAGGTGGGCAAGTATTGGACAGAGCACTGGGTGTTATATGCAAACAATGAATCATGAACATAACAAAAACTGATGTACTGTATGGTGACTAACATAAAAAATTTTTTAAAAAAGGAGATGAATGAAAAGAAAAAAATAAATAAAACTCATTATATTATGGAGAAGATACTGAAATGTTTACAGATGATAGGCCTTAAAGTAATATGGAAAACAGATAAGGAATTATAATGGTGTGTGGATGGGGCAGCTGATATGGGTTCGTGGTTGTTGGGCAGGTGATGGGCACATAGAGATTCATTAAAAGAATTTCATAGACTTGTCTCTATAGAATATGCTTGTGCATATGTCAAAAATTCTCCACAGTAGGGGCACCTGGGTGGCTTAGTTGGTTAAGGGTCTG